AAAATGACCCCCAAAGTGAAGTGTTGTGTGGTTTTCCCAACTTCAGAAAGGCTGTGAAGCATCTTAAGGAGAAAATGTGTGTTAGATAAACCTTTTTTGGGCACGAGTTATATTGCTACTGGTCATGTTCAACATTAATCAATCAGTAATATAGTAAATAAGGTATTTTAAAACAAAACCTCACAGAAAGCAAGGTCATGTATAGAACGGGTGATGGAAATGTGACTCGAGGCTTACTGGCCCCTACCTGCGCATTACCCTTAAGAGTGATGGCAACGTTATGCAACATGCCTACTGCAAATAATGAGAACTGACTCTACCTTACTCTATCTCTTTGGGTTTATTTGGTTGCTCTAACTTTCTAAGTTTGATGATCAGTTCATTAGCTTTCATTCTTTCTTACTTTATAACGTAAGATATCTAAGATAATACTTTTTTCTCCTAAATATTGCTAGTGGTCCTGTTACTTAAAGGAAGACTCTAAAATGAATCAATAACTGATACCCTGTTATTATTCACAAGTATCTTCTAAAATGGAGTTTCGTTTGCTACCTGTTCCTGTATTCTCTGTTCCAAGCAGCTCAGTAATCCAGCTGCATCTCTGGTACCTAGAGCTGCCAGCTCGGTCTGGAACGCGGCCAGTAAAACACTGCGCTCCTTTAGGAAAACATGTTGCAGGGCAAGCAAAAGGTCGCCTCGCCAGTCTGAAAGATTCTCAGGAGGCTGAGAATCATCATAAACCTAGGAGAGTTCAAATAGCAAAGTTAGTGTTCAAAGAAGCAGGTTTTAAAAGATCATAAAAACATTAGTCTATTAACCCAAATAAATATTAAAAGCCAAAAAGCACATGCAATTTCAAGTGTGAAAAAATATAGATAGCAATTCATGTGAAAACATAGAAGATAATTTATAAAGTGTATTACTGCTGTTAGAAACCACATAAAACCGTTTAAAAGCATAATATTCTTTGAGTACCTCAGTTTCTCTTTGCACTTGCATTTTGGTAATTAAGTCTTTAAGAGATGAGATTGTACTGAGGTATGCCCTTCTTTCTTCTAGCCAGGATTCTGAAACTTGTTGAACAGAATGGTCTTCTCCATCACCATATGATGACTCTGTGAGAGAAAGCACCTGCATGCCCTCGTTATGAACAGCTCTCAGCAATCCCTAGAAACAAAAGCCAGAAGTATGACTTCTTCAAAGACTGAAATTTACATGTACAAACATACATGAATTTTAAGCAGAACAGCTTTATCAAGCTAGATTGATTTAGAAAATCCACCACAGAGAGGAAATTCCAGCCTGCCTCTACTGAAATACCTTCTTCTTGTGGAGGGGTAAGCCAATCTCAACAGGCTGCCTACGACTTCCCAATGCCCTTATCTCTAGATTTCTTCTGTGTATCTAGGGTGCCCTTCCTAGATTTAATAATCAATCAGTCACCCATGTGACCAAGAGCGATGATGTGGGGGAAAACTTCTATTCCTTTAGACTGCTTTAAAATAATTTTGACAAAAAATATTTAAAAATACTTTTAAAGTATCTTTATACACATAATTATTAAATATACTGCACTTTACTATCTGTGAAATATGGAAATAAAATGAAAAAGATTCTCAAGGATCAAGCCACACAATTTTCTCTTCAGAGAGGATCTTACTATGTAAATTTAAATAAACTACGATGCTCAATGTAAAAACAGTATCAGCTAAGTTTATTAAAAAATATTTATCTTTTAGTACCTTTATTTTCTTTGGAAATGAATCTGTTGAACCTTCAATTTCTTCTTCTCTGCCCTCTGACCCTGTGTCGAATCCTTGACTTTGTGTAAGATAAATTCCATGACCCCAGTCTGATCCAGAATCTAAAATAAAACAACCATCTATTATATAAAAGACCATTCCCTCAAGGAAAATAACATTTTTTAAATAAATACTATAATCATTCAAGTAATGTATATTACTTACCACTGGAACATATTTCTCTAGTTTGGTAAGTATTAGAATGAACTGAAGACCCCTAATTAGAGAAAACAAAACAAAACAAAAACAGTTTTGTTTGCTTTAATACAAAAATAGGGCCCAATGAATTGTTCTGCTGTTTCTAACGCTGTAAAAAAAAATCAACTAATCTGTCATACTTGTCACAGTAAATGAAACTATCCATGGCTTATAACAAGTCTATTATATTTTTCTCTCACGGATATTACCATAATAAAAAGAGATATTCATAAACTAAGGAATTATATCAGGTTCCAAATCCACACAGGGACTTTATTATCTAACCCTCCACAAAAGGAAGATTTAAAATTGTAATAGTATCATGAAAAAGAGGTTCTTCTCACATTTCTGTTTAAATTTCTCTTAAAAATATAGAAGCATAAAACTTTGAAAGAAAAATCATAGAATGTTAAGGAAAAAAAAAGAAATCAAATACCTCTTTAGATCTTAGATGCTGTATCACTGCCTTCAAGGTCCCACATTCCTCTGTCAGTAACTGAAGAGCGACATAATGTTCCCTCTTCAAAGTCTCAGTTTCTGAAATATGTCTGGATTCCATATCCAAAATTTCGGCAGCATGTAATTCTTGCATCTGCTCAATTTTCTCAGTAAACTGACTTATTATTTCAGTGACTTCCTCTGAGGAACACCCATTCTGTGTATCAATCTGAACCCCTGTGTTTCTAACCGGAGTCTGCGGAGTCTGACTGCTGCTGTGGACCCCGAGAGCCTCCTCTGTCTGGGATGCAGAGCTTTGAGCCACTTTAATGGGAAGCGGCTCGAATATGAAGCTCTCTCTGTTTTCTTGTACCTCAGCCTTATCACCTTCTAGTAGGAAGTGGGATAATTTGTCTTCTGCCTCTGTGAGTTGATTCCTGACTTGGCTTAAATCTTTCTGAAGAGATGCCATATTTACTTCTTTTACCTAAAACATGAGTAGAGCAGTAGAGAATTGAGTTAAAATTTTTGCAAATTAAACGTAGAACTTTTTAAAAGTTGGAGAAAGGAAGAGTACAATTCATGCTCAATATGTTCATCTGCCTCAGAATAATAGGGAAAACATGCCAGAAAGACCCATGATCTATTATACTTTCGTAAGTATGTATGGGCATGGGTTACCGTTACTACAGAAAGGAAATAATTTTCTACATTTAGCTCCCATTAGATTTATGGTTCTCTTTATGTCAATACCTATCTTCTTCTTCCTTTGCTAATGGACTAGAGATCAAAGCATCCTCCTAAAAAAAGATTCTCAGGAAAGCCTAAGCAAGGAAGTACTGGTAAAGAAACCTGTAACAACGAGTTTTTCATGAAACCTATGAAAAGCTTTCCTTTTTAATGTAGCTTTTAAATTATGGATCTGGGTTTGCTTTTACAGAAAGAAATTAAGATAGGTAAAAATAAATGAATTAAGACTAAGTTACTTTTCTTACCAAAAGCTCTTCTTGAAGTTTCTCCACCTTCTCTTTGTAACTGGCAAGTTCTTTGTTGGTAGCCACTGACTCAGCTCTAAAAGCCTCAAGTTCATCAAAAAGTCCACTTTCCCCACTGGTATGAATTACCTCAGTAGGAGTCTGAATGGTAGGAGAAAACAAGGAACACACCATTTTAAAGACATATAGCTTTAAAAAAAAGACACATAGCTAAGTTGAAGGGACTCACACATTCTAATGGAGCCCTTCCAGGAATGCCTGTCTACAGATGAAAGGGACTGAAATAATCAGTGCTCTTTTCAACAAATGGAAACTTTTTGAGACCATTCATCTTATGATAATAAAAATTTACAAGTTATTAATAAAAATACTCTTTGTTATATTCAAAAGTTTCATATTTATACCACTTTCCTTAAAGGATACCAGATGTACCTAAGATATTTCTCAAAAAATATAAATGGGAACTAGTATTATAGTATTTATTACAAAGAAATGTAGTTCTAATTAACTAAGAGGAAAAGGCCTAGTAAACAGGATTATTGTTATATGACTAATGAACTTATAAAACCCTAATATAATCTGGTGTTCAGATAAGATTACACACTCAAACTTGTAAATTCATAAAATGAGAATTTGAAAAAAGTCCTGTCACATCTGTCATGTAGTAAAAAATAACTGCAACTTCGTATCTTTATGTAAGTAGACTTACACAGGTCAAATACAAACTGCTGAAGAAGGGTGACATCTATTATCAGGCATAAAATTTGCAAAAATTAAAGACTTGTCACATATTAATTCAGTAGAATACTAACAGATTTTGGTATTTTTCTTTACCTCAAAGAGATAATGACATCACATGTATATATTAAAGTGAAATGAAGGGGAAAAACCCCACACCAAGTCCTACAGGACACTTGGTAAACTGAACTTATGCTTCCGACAGTTCCAATTAATGACTACGCTAACGGAATAAATATTGTTTGCAGGCATTACATACAGTTTTTATCTACTCCTCTAGTGGTAATAATATCACTACCTAGTGTTAAACTTGGCCTATCTCCATATCTTGAGTTGCTGCAATTAAACCTAGCATGGAAACAAAAACCTAACCTAGGAGTGTAATAAACAGCCAAGTCGCAGCTGCACACGAGCAGCTCTGCTTCAACTGATCACAGGCAACCAACTGATCAGATCACACCCAAACCAGGCCCAGCTTAAGCAGTGAAGCCACTTCCATGCTTTATTTGGGGAGTTCTATCAGCACTCACTCGCCACTGTTGCAGAGTGAAACTTTCTGAACCTCTTCTGGGTCTGATGCAGTATACTTCATGAATCACTCTTTGCCCAAATAAATTCTGTTAATTTTAGTTTGTCTAAAGTTTTTCTTTTTGAATAGTGTAATATTTTAATAAAACTCTATTATGTACAATTTGCTAGGTATAAACACAACACCACACTTAGTTTAGTAAATTATGAACCAGTATAATGAACAGAGGAAAGAACTTCCCAGGGTAGGTAGGTGGAAAAAAAACCATATACAAAACTAACCTTGAGGACTTCAAAATCGCCTTGTGGGCTTCTTTTCCTTTCTTTTCCTTCTTGTTTTTTCTTACTGTCCTCCAAAAGCTTCTGTAGTTCTAGCAGTTTCCTTTCTTTCTCCAAAGCATTTTTCTCTGCCATTTCTACTTGTTTTTTTTCTGAAATCAAACTGCTATGCATTGCAACCACCTGGCTTTCTAATTCAGATATTCTCAGGGTTAATTTGGACACATCTGACTCCACCTTGTTTTCTGTTATTTGATCTGAATTCTGTATACTAGTCCTTTCAGGTTCTGAGGAAATTGTTTGCTTATCCCGATAGAACTTCACACATTCCTGAACTGCCTCAAGCTGGGCCTGACTCACAAGAGCCGCAGCTACTTTCTCCTCAAGGATTTTCTGTAGGTTTAAAATCTTTTTTTGAAGCATTTCTGTTTCAGATTGGCCTTGCTCTTGCATGTCCTTTATTTGTTTGTAACACTGGATAAGTTCTAAGTCCTTTGTACTAACAGAGTTCTGAAGTTGTAGCAACTTTGTTTCCAAACTTCCAGAAACTCTGGTGCTTTCTTCAAAAGACTGGAAGTAAATCAGATTTTCTAGGGGATTAAAACCGTCTTCAGCAGGGACTACTTCCAGGTCAGGTTTGTTCTTGCTAAGGTCATCCAGAGCCACAGTAACACGGTTCTCTGGTACATTTTGGGCTTTCCCCTTATTTTCACATTCTCTCTTTAAGTTGCACAACTCTTGTGTTAGTTGATTCATTTTAAAATTGGTTTCCTTAAGTACATTTTTTGTAAAAGCCATTTCTTCATTAGTGGTTTCCACTTGCTGTTCCAAAGCCAGTTTTTCGGCCATAACTTTATCCAACTGATGTTTTAAACTGTCTGCTTCTTCTGAAGGAGAATTAGCATACACTGAAGCCTTCTGTTCAATACTTGCCAATTCCTGTTGAAGTTTTTCAATCACTTCATTGAGTTGCTCTATTTCTTCTTCTCTATTTTTCTTCACACATTCTTGATCACTCAACAAACATTCTATCTGAGTTTCAAGATCCCTTATGAGTTCATTTTTTTCTTCAATAACCTATTAGTTAATGAAAAAAGGAAACATGGTAATATGAATTTATATCTTGGAAATTGTATTTTATTTTAGACAAGATTTTAAAGAGATGATTTTTGTTTTGTTTTTCGAGACAGGGTTTCGCTATGTAGTTCAGACTGCCCTTGAATTTGTGGTGATCTTGCCTCAGCCTCCCAAGTGCTGGGGTTTACACACATGAGCCACCATGCCTAGCTTAAACCAAGATCCAGAACAAAATTATACTGTATTTTGCAGACATAGTATGTTACTTCCAATATAGACCAACACTACCCCTATCATATCAAACAGGACATTATTAAGAACTTCCTTCTGGAAGCTCTGTTAAATATACAGTTTATAGTTTTAGGATTTAATCTCCTATTAGGAAAAAACAGTCAGTACATTCTGTTGAAAAGAATGAAGGGTTTTTTTTCCCCTGCAGTACTGGGGATCAAACGCAGGGCTTTTTGCACTGACCTACATCCCCACTCCACTGTTATGTTATGTTGTGCTGTTATTTTTTGGAGACAGGTCTTGTTAATTCACTAAATTGCCCAGTCTGGGTTTGAATTTGTGATCCTCCTGCCTCAACCTCCCACAGTGTTAGGATTACAGGCATGTACCACCACACCCAGCTCAAGGAAGAAGTACTGAAATAACGTCTAGAACAGATGGCATCCAAATGTGATGCATATTAAATGGAAGAATTTTTCATAGATTTGGTTAGGATATGATGAAATCTGAGTTACACTGCTTTCCTGAAAAACATTAAGTACACCTTTTGAGAATATTAGGAATCAACAAATACACATAGTTTAAGCTAATGTATCTTAATTAAAATTAATGAGTAAAAGAGAAAATTTGTTTTTTAAAATTCAACGGGAAAGTGAAAATTATCATCATGTTGCTTTTTAAAATTGCAGCTCATATTAATTTCAGATAATAACCCATTTGAAATGAGCATACCTTGTTATCTGTTGTAAGTTTCAGCTGTTGCTGAAGTTTTGTAATTTGCTCATTTAACTGATCAATTTCTACCTCTTTTTCCTGTATGATTTGAGCAAATTTTCCAAATAACACATGTTGGTCCTCAGTAGAGACAGCATCAGATTCTTTTATGGCAAGTCCCAGTTTCTCCATTTCATCCTAGGGACAGTAAACAAATAAATAAGTGAATAAACAAACATGTCTCAATGAAATTACAAGCCAATAAGACTATAGTAAGATATATTAATTACACTGTCATTTCCAGAACATTCTTTAAGTCATAAAAAATATAGTACCTATAATGTACAAATAAAAAAATTAGTATCTATAATGTACAAATGAAAAAATTATATAGTGTATAATTCTTCAAGTATTTTAATAAAAAAAATCACAAAATTTTTTATTTTTGATGAATTTAGATGTTTAGGTTAAGCAGAAAATGTTTCATGCAAATCCATTTGCCTGCTAATGTTCCTCTGATATTTTTTAGCAGCTGAATTTGGTAAGTGTTTATTAAGGCACCAGAGGAGCAAAACTATGAATTATGTATAGACAAAAGTCTTTTCTAAATTAATTACCTTAAATAATTTGTTCTCTTGTTGAAGTTCTTGTAGGCGGGTAGTAGATTCCTTTTTCTGTATTTCTAGTTGCATATGTAGTTGCTGAACTTCTTCATTCTTATTTTCCAGTTCTTCTCTAAACTGTTCTAATTGTTCTTCTAAGTTTGTGATCTTTAGTGCCAAAATTATCAAGAGAAAAGTTTATATAAATGTTTTATTTGTCAAAACAGAAATGGAGAGTGCTGTATTAGGTTTACAAAGTATGTATGCTTAAAACATGTAAATCATGGGGATACCGGAGAGTGGTTTTCTAAGCTAGCTGTACCTATACAGTTCCAGGCACGCTCAAACCACACATTCCTTTTTTGGGGGGCAGGGGAAACAGTCTTACTACATAGTTCAGACCAGCCTTGAACTCATTATGTAGCCCAGGCTGGCTATGAACTTGTAGCAATCCTCCTGCCTCAGCCTCCCAAGTGCTGAGATTACAGGTTTTGGGCCTTCACACATGGCTCAAACCACACATTCAAAAGAAACTATTAATGAAATAAAAGTCAAGCCAGAGACTGGCTTGCCCAAGGCAGAGAGGAGACCTGAAGGAAAGTCACAAGAGGCCCTTTCCTACCTAAGATACTGCTTTGACACGAAGAGTGACGGTAGGAAGCAGTCCACATGCTATACCTTAAATTTATGTTACAATTAATTGCTATTGAAAAAACTTCTTAATACAATTTTAGAAGAAAACCAACTCTTATAGATAGGACAACAGAAATTTAGATAATTTCTGAAGATGGATGGTTAGTAATAATGATAAAGCACCATCTTTGACAATTATATAGAAACTAAACCTAATGGTAAATATTAAGAGCTAGTTATTATTGTGTTTAGAAAACCAGGTTTCACCAAGGACAGTAACACTTAAGCTCACTGCTTTGTAGCTACTTAATATTTAATGACTGGACTTCCAAATTTACATTTACCTGAAGATCAAAACTGCTGCATTACGACCAACCTATGATGCAGGAGCAGTACTCAGTAGTAGCTGGCTCAAAGTAGCTTATGAATCCTTTAGTGCCTCAGAAGCTGAGAGGGGGCATTGCTGCTCACATACCGACACACCACATAATTAGAATCGTATCACAGTAAGGCAAGACCTTAAAAGTCAGACTAATATTTCTTAAACAGAAACACTATCGATATTAACAGCCATCAATGACAGACAATTTACTGCTATGCACTGTACAATTTACTGCTGTGCTCCTGCATCTTAGGTTGCTTTTACTGCAGGAGCTTTATGTGTATGATTTCTTAAAATCCTGTAATAACCTTCGTTAAGAGATCTGTTCTATAATTATCCTCATCTGAGAGACCAGAAAGGGGGTCACAAAGAGGAGTAATAGAGCCTCAGTATGTGGTGAAACTGCTTTTAACCTGCGAAGTTCTTACCTCTGAAGCCTTCCATTCTAATCTACCATTTATCCTGATTCTAGCTATCAGTAATATGTTTAACATTTTTTCTCTAATATTGGTATTAATAAACTGTAGAGTTTATACACTTAGTGGTTGTGCATATATAATTATCATGTTAGTTTGCTGAAAACTGTGGTAATTATAGCTTCTTTAAAGTTATCTAACAGCATTTGTATCTACTTCTACCTTCTACAACTACTTTTGATGACAAGGCATTATAAAATGAACACATATGTGGTTACTTAAGTTCAAAACTGCTATGCGACATCACATGACGTTTAATACCTTTTCTTGATACATCACTTAGTAGTCAAATTCTTAGCTCTGTGACCTAGAGCCTTGCTACATGAAGTGTCATCTCTGGACAGTAGAACTCACAGCCTGTGAAAGCCTGCACAGAAGTGCATGCTGCTGAAGACCAGCATATTCACAAGGTCACCAGGGATTCGTATGCACACTGAAGGTGTCTACAGCGCTAAGATTTTTAAGGTAGCTGAATCTGAGATATCACCTTAGAAATTTTAACCTCCAAAATGATACTGTGGAATATTCTTCTTATTCAACCAGATGCTAGCTTGGGTGTCCTTTCTACCGGGAAATGCTTTCTGACACTGACATCTTTGTTCATAGGTCGACTACTGTCAAGGTCAGTTTACACATGAATTGAGAAGCAGCTTGAACATAGGTTTTAGGTCATAAACTTCATTCTATTCAAATGATATTTGCAAGGTAACTGATTTAAAATATTCAAGCCACACTGTGCCGATTGAACATAACTCCTTACCTCTTTTTCCTTTCTGTCTATAGCATCTCGCTCAGCCTGCAACTGTACTTCTAGAGATAATTCCGCTTTCGCTTCTACAGCTCCAGGTTGTCTTCTGTCCTCCACCTTTAAATACAAAAAGAATTTTCTCAAAATTTTAGACACTAAGTCCTGGTTATCCATCGTGTTTGTGCACGCACGTGTGCAGGGTATGTGGACAAGTAGCAGCTCTGTATCCCTACTTAGGAGAAAAATCTGTATTAATGAATAATCAAAAAACTACAGATATTCAAAACTGAATGCATTTTCCCTAAATTTGAACAAGAACTTCTGATTCTTAAAATTCAGATGAAATGAAGGTGATCTCCCATGTGCAACCAGCCTTCCTTATTCTGCTAGCACTTTTTTTATTTGGTTTTGCTTTCTGCAGAATCACAGGGATGGATTTCATTACTTCTTAGTTTGGGGCGAAACATCAGTCTAACTGGTATCCATTTCTCATTTAGCTATCACTAATGGATAAAAGGTAAGTAATTAATTCTTCTGGTAAATAATTAAACCTTTTATCAGAACTGAAGCACATAAGCAACATTTGGGTATTTAAAAAATGGTTATGAAGACAAGAAGATGTAAAGATATATATGTGTTATTACATGCATGTAATAACATGGCAATAAATATTTTACTTTAGACTGGATGCTTGTATAACTAAGAGTAATCTTTACTGAAACAACTCAAATAAATGTCGCACCTTCTGAAAAGTATCGGCACTAACGAGTAACGCTTGCTCCAGTTCTCTTACTCTGCACTCCAGTTTCTCAATTTCTTCATTCCGCTCTTGCACGTCTCTCTGAAGTTGCTCTTTAGAGAGCAAAAGCTCACTGCACTTGTCTGTTTTTTCTTTCAGATTATTGGTTAACTGTTCAACCTGAAAATATAGTAAGCAAAAAGTATAATTTAAATTTAGAAAATTCACAGCTATAAAACACATCTATTCTCATTTCAAAGAGGATTTTTAAATGCTACACTGATTTCATTTTTGGTAAGAATTGAAACCATTATCTCCAAGCAAAGTGACATTTTTCTAAGTTGATAAAACTAGGCAGCACTAGTAAAAAAGTAGTATTTTTTTTACTCAATCCTTTTTACAAATGTTCTTTCTCTTAAGACTAAGACTTTCTCCAGTGAGGAAAAGGGGAAAAATACATTTTTTTTTTTTGGTACCAGCAATCGAACTCAGGACCTTGCGCTTGCCAGGCAGGCACTTATGCCGCTGAGCTATATCCCCGGTGAAAAATACATTTTGAATAACAGTGAATTATCTAATGACAAAACTACTCTAAGACCTAGTTGACCTAAAAGGAGACAAAATTGCCTAACAATTACTGACTTACTCTTATGCATATTAAAAGTAATGCACTTATTATCTTTATATACACATTTGGTACTCTTAACATGGATGGTAAATCTTACTTTAAAAATTGAATTTGTGACCCCATACAGATCCAGTATGTTGAGAAAATGCATAGGGAAAAGTGACTCAAGGCCTATGGCCTAGACTGATAAGCAGGACCTTTTGACAGTGGCTATGTGACAGAGAACTACAGGAGGGATTAAAAAGACCGTTTATGAAATTAGTTCTGATCAAGTGAGGAAATAAAAGTTAATGAAAAAGATATGATATAAAAGAAATAAAGGAACATTATCTTACTTTGGTGAAATATTTTAAGAAAATTATCCAACAATGACAGCTTTGCTCAGAATGTTAAAAAAAAATGCAAGTTTAACAATAATTATAGGTTTGAGGATGACTATTAAAGTTACTGAGAAGAAACTTTAGCTTGACCCAGATTTGGAGTAAGGTGAAAAGGTAAGAAAACAGATACAATATGAGGTAGAAACTATTACTGTTTCTCATTTTAGAAATGAATAAGAATAAGCAAGCCGGGCACGGTGGCGCATGCCTGTAATCGCAGCATTCGGGAGGCTGAGGCAAGTGGATCGTTGCAAGTTTGAGACCAGCCTGGGCTACAAAGTGAGTCCAAGGCTAGCCTGAACTGCATAGTGAGACCTGTCTCAAAAAGACAAAAGAAGAAAAAGAATAAGAGATTTGAGAAGTTATGTGACTTGATCATTGTCACATACCTAAGTAAATAGCAGAAGCATGATCCAAATGGATTGCTTCACATCAAAAATAATCTCTTTGTCATCATGATGAACCATTGTTAGCAATTTATAGTCAGTCTTTCTTACGCACATAGCATTCAATTAGTAAACAGAGATTTATGTTTGTATTTTTACTAGTGTCATCACTTTTATTTTGTTATACAGTACCATACTTAAACCATGTATTAAAAGTAATGACATTCATTATCTTTATATACACATTTGGTACTCTAACAAGAAGGTAAACCTTACTTTGAAAAATTTTTTTGAGTTTGTAATTCAATACAGATCCAGTATATTGAGAAAATGCATAGTGAAAGTTCTCTATATGATGTGCATAGTTCCAAAATCAAAAGGTGGATTACAATCTCACCTTATTCTTTCTCTCCTACAAAGGGTGGTAATCTAGATTATCGTGAAGAGTGAAGTAAGTGAAATTATCCATCAAACTATCTGACTCACAGATATTCAACAGATTTGTTTTTGGATAAGTTACATGTCATATTTCTGTGGTTTTGTCAATGGCTTCAAGAACATTAATATCAGTTATCTTAGAATTATTCCATTAAAGTATATTAATGCTTCCAATTTACAAATACATCAAGGTCTTGGGTAAAAATACGTGGTAGTTTTAGTATTTTAATTTATGGACAAAGGAGAGTAAGTTGAACTGAGTTTTCTTTCCATTAACTTTTCTTTTATATAATAACTCTTAAGTAAAATATCTAAAATATTATTGACTTGAGAAACTTTAAAGGAAGCTTCCTTAGTGAGTGAGAGACTGTTAGCATCTGTGAACTTACTCAAGCCTATTACAGAATCAAGAAGTAGAAACTAAACTGTGTATAATTCTGGAACACATTCTAGTTACTCTGACCCAAGACCTTGCTTTCTTCTTCTATAAAGTGAAACACTGGCTTCTTGTTAATTCTCCAACTAACTACACAGCAGTATCACCAAGGCTGGCTTTGACAGAAGCTTTCACACACTAAACTTAGTGAGTCAGAATTTGAAAAGTTGTTTCTAAAATCTGTATTTTAAATTTCCTTAGTTATTTGATAATCACACAGGTGTGGTACCTTCCAATCTAGTCAGTTACTAAAATCATTTTTTCTGAACTTTCTTTTTCTCTTCTATAAAATACATTGGCATTTGGGAGTATATTTATTTCTAGGGCCTATGGCCATTAATTATCATTTTATTTTAAAATGACATTTGTAACAAAGTGATCAACAGGTGTGCTCATTAAGAGCTCAAACAAAAGCAGACAATATGATTTACAGTAAAACAAAATATATTTTCATAACTATAGCCAGTAATGCATTTAAACTAAATACAGTACTTCAAAGTATTCTGCACAAAAATTTATACACCACATTTAGTTAATGATAAAGTATCTAGTTTAATAAAATACTTTGAGAACTACAGCCTAACATTGAACACTGAAGAACCAAAGTACTAAATAAATCACTTTATGGCACAAGACACCATAAATTTATCTACACAAACAGCAAGCAGATTTTTGTGCTAGAAGACTAGAAAAAATATTAAGTAAAAGATTCAAGGATTAGAAATTTAGAAATAGCTGGTCAACTGAGGCCTGATAGTGGCCTTTGAGCATCAGATTCTTTTTCTTTTTTTTATAAAAATGAAAACACCCCAAACTTAGTAGCATCTCTCTCTCTTTTTTTTTCTTTTTGAGACAGGGTCTCACTATGCAGTTCAGGCTGGCCTTGAGCTCACTTTGTAGCCCAGGCTGGTCTTGAACTTGCGAAGATCCTCCTGCCTCAGCCTCCTGAGTGCTGGGATTATAGGCACATCCCACCACGCCTGCACAGCATATCTCTTCTTTAGCAAAACTTTTTTCCTTTGATAAATTAAAATCCTTTCATTCATTAAATATATGAAAGATGTGTTAATTTCTTTAAGTACTGATGTCATTCTTGAGATGTTGATTCTACTGCAGTTCTTTGTACTTTTTTTCCTCCATGAACCTTGGGTCTGTAACAGGGAAGATACTAAACATACTAAGATAAATAGTCGTCTTAGAGTGCCTTTATACATAAGTAAACTAATTATGGGCCAGTAATGCATTTCGACCTTTGAAAAGAGTGAGACACAAACCCCTGCTCTAGAGAGCTCCTCATTTTATGTCAAACACCGATTCTGAACCACTGTGAGCCTTCAATCCATCTTTCAAATGTGCACAGACACTGATTCCCTCTGCAAATTCAAATAAAATCTTTTGTTACACTCATCATTTTTTGAATACTCATAATAATGGGTTCTTTTCAATTTGAATGGACAAGACCTATACTGTGCTTTCTAAGACTATGTCAAGTATTTTGTTCTCTCTTTCAGTTTTCCTGACATATCCTTCACAGTTCTGTTCAACCCACTGGCATGTTCTGTGACAGTTTGTGCCAGTTTTCTGTTACTCTTTACAGTTGTCCTTGCCACTCATTCCTCCTGGCCACGGCCTGGTCATCTGAGCTTTTCCACATTCCCTTTCCTGGCCTCTTATCCACTTGGGTGACTAATGTTAGCACGTCTTCAAAAGTTAGGTCTTCAATAAATACAACTCATCAGCATTTCTTTAAGATTTGTTCTGAACCTCAGATCTTCACTGTAATAATATCCTTTTAGAATGCTATTCAGAGATATTATCTTCAAAAAGAATCATTTCTTGAGGTGTTTTGTCATAAAAAAAGTTGTATTAAGAGACTGATAAATCTATAATTCTAAATCAATGCTTAACTCAGGAAAGGTTGCTTCTACTGTATTGTTAACTCTCACTATGATAAATACTGGATTCTGCAAGAACACTGTTAAAACTATTTGGCATGGGACATTAGTTTTATGCACAAAATAGTTAGATCAAGAAATTAAAATTTTGGTTCTTCGATATTGACTTACAATTTATATGACATATTAAGTTTGAAAACTTAAAACAGATGAACAGCCGCTGTCACGCAGTCAAGAAACACCATGCCACAGAGAAGCACTGACCCAACAGGACTGCCCGGAGATGTGCATGAACCATCCTGACATGGAGAAACCTCTGGGAAAATATGCCACATGGCGGTCGCTCTTGGCCTTGCCCTTGAGAGCCAGAAAGGTCTGGAGTCAGTGGAGGACTTGGAGAACACGAGAGTACTGAGGCCCGAAGACTCAGAGGTCAAGCTGACTGGGGACGCAAGAGCCATTTGGGAGCTGGAAACCAGGAGGACCTAGCACAATACCCGGGGAGACCCCTGGAGGCCATTCTTCCCCTAACTGTACAGGCTGCGGTGGAGGAGCGAGTGGAGCTCCAGAGAGGTCTGCACCAAGACTTCATGGATTACATGGGTGCCCAATATTCAGATTTTGAAGAACTGCTTTCATGGAGAAGGTACGTGTCTAGGTTACCTGCCTGCGACACTATGCACCTGATGGTGCTGAGACTGACTAGCAGGCTGAGGACTTTATCCACATGTTCCTGCCGCCTATGTTGATGGTTGGGGAGAGGATACTAAGCGGTTGCGGAATCCCAATGCGCTGGGAGGCTGGAGAGAACACCCCTCGGCTTTCTTAGACAAGAGGCATTGATAAAGCATACTTCTCTGGATCCCAGTTCAGCAAAGCGACAAACTATTCTTAAAGGTAAGTTTATTACTCAGTCAGCCCCAAACAGTAGAAAAAAGCTACAAAAAATGGCTGCTGCCCCAGATAGCTCACTTGAGATGTTAGTAAGAATTGCCTCCTCAGTATTTTATAGCCGTGAGGAGGAGGAGGAGGCCAAGAAGAGAAAACAAAGAGACTGAGAAAAAACAGCTGCCTTTATTGCGGCACTAAGAGAAACTGACCCTAACTCATTCTCGGGGCCCCAAGAAGAACTTGTTGACTACATTCATCTGCTACTGCTGTCAAAAGCCAGGCCACCTCACTGTAAAGGTGACCACTAGAGGTCAGACTGCCCTCTGAAGCAGAGGTCCCAGAGCTCAGACCCCTCCTACCAGCTGGTCCAACAGGAATGAAGGGGCCCAGCGCATGCTCTGCCTTCTCCCTCTGGCCAGACCGTTATCTTCAAGGAGGAGCCCCATGTAACCATGACTATAGAGGAAAAAGTAAACAGCCTACTGCTGGATACTGGTGCTAGTCTCTCAGCCCTTTTCAATCCTGGCCTTCCTTCCAGGTGTCACACCTCAGTGAAAGGAGTCACTGGTGAGGAGGTAATACGCTATTTTACACAACCTTTAGGCTGACACTACTTGTTAGATCTTTCTTGCATATCTTTGTTTTCCTGAGAAACCACTTTAAAGATACCACCATGTATTACAGCAGCCATTGACAATTTCCTACCAATCTGTCCATAACTCTGTAATTTTTGTATTGTTCCTATGCTATTTCGTAAATGTATGTTTATTACTATGTGTTTTCAACAATAACCGTTGAGAATAGTCAATGATTATTTAATTGATCACTCATGTAAAGCTCTATTTTTTTCCCTAAAAACCACTTTGAAGAAACCAAAGTATAGTACAACAACCATTGATAATTTCCTACCATTTTTCTCTGTAGCACTATTATTTGTCTATTTGTTTTCCTGAGAAACTACCTTGAAGATACCAATAGGTAAAATAACAACCATTGATATTGTCCTACCACTTCGGCTATAATTTGGTAAATCCTCCTATTACTATGTTATCCTTCTTTTACTCTTTTAAATAAATGTAAAAAAACCAAAACCAAAACAACAAAAAAAATAAACATAGGTAAGTATTCATTGGTATGTCTGTTACATTTATAAAAAAAATATATATTTTTTTTGTTTTTGTTTTTTTGAGACAGGGTCTCGCTATGCAGTTCAGGCTGGCCTTGAGCTTACTTTGTAGCCCAGGCTGGTCTCGAACTCACAACGATCCTTCTGCCTCAGCCTCCTGAGTGCTGAGATTAAAAATATATATTTAAGAATTGAACTATTTGAATTTGTAAGATGCTGCCAAGCAAACTTCCACCTGTGATCCATAATCAATCCTTCTACATTTTTAACTCAAAGGCAATTATGTTATAGTTAGGAAATTTTAATTTTCTAAATGTACTCAGAAAAAATTATCAAAACTATCTTCCAGGTACAAAGAACACTTGCGTAATTCATTTGCCACAAGTGAAGTCCCTCCTTGTATTGTGAGCTAGCAGACAACAACTGTATGAGATCCGTGGTGGGCACCTGAGGCGTGTGAACAAGAAGGGACAAAGCAGTCAGCATGTGCTATTTCATTAACTCTTAGTGTTTCCACTGAATGTCAAATGCCAGATTTCACTTTGACAACCAAAATAAAAAGAGCAATTTTTACTCTGAAAAGTAATTGAATGTTCCTGGTCGCAGATACTAGCAACTTCCAACACAACCTCTGGGGATAATTTGCAGTTTCTGAACTGTGCTTTAGAGAAACATATCTTTGCCTGCTGATTGGAACATCAATACATCAGTGAATTATGTTAATAGAATAGTTTAAAGATTTAAGCGTGGACTCAGTCTGAACAGTCTGAGCAGGATTTATTCCTATTCCATCATTGGTAGCAATTGCACTTGTTGCGGTAGGAACCTTTAATTCACACGCTGCAAGCTTTAAGTCTGCTGTAGAAGGTGTACTTTCAGGAACACTGAGAACTCTGAACAGCAGCTGTGGGTTTGACATCAGCATGACTTTAAAAGAAACCTTTGACATGGGGCATCTGCCCTGGACAGACAGGCCACCTAGCCAAGTTGAGCCGCCCACCTTGACTAAGTTTCCATATGAGGAAAACGGACAGATGGAGTGAAAAAGTAGCAGCATGGAGACTGTTTAGGAAGCTACCACAACCACCAAACAGTGATGACAACAAAGGTGGAGAGAATACAAAGATGTAGTAGAGATCTAACTAGCAATGGCTTGGGAGGACGCTGAGAAGAGTCAGACCAAGGAAGAATTCTATGTCTTAGTAACGAACAGAAGGTACAGACTTTGAGATGAAGAAGAAACATGCTTTATTCTTGTCTTTCTTAGTAAAGCCTCATCAGGAATCAAGAGCTCTCTCTACACATGTTAATCCTGAGACATCTAAGTGGAAAACAGGTAGCTGAATATACAAGTATGGAGCTCAACAGAGATGTCAGGAACAAAGGGATCACTGTGGAGTCGTTTTTTATAAGACTGCCTGACCAAGGAATGTATGGATGGAAGAAAAAGGGGCTTAAGTTTCATTCATGGGGCACCCCATCATTTATTGTGGGTAAGCAGGGGAGAAAAAGGCTAGACAAAATCTGGAGCAGGAACATCACAGAAGCCAAAGGAAAGAAGTGCTTTCACAAGAAGACCATAATGAATGCTCTGAATGGTTGAGGAGGGTGAAGACAGAGAGGTGATTACTTAGAGCCATGAGACTCTAGGCAACTGTCACAAAAACAGTGTAAGTGGAGTAGAAGGCATAAAACCCCAAGACAGAGGAGTCTGAAACTTCACGGAGAGCACTGAGAATGGGAAACATAGTACAGAGAGAATATGGATAACTCCTTCCATCAGTTTTGCTGGGAACGGGATTAAGAAATGAGCAGGGAAGCTTATTTAACTGCTGAACATCACAAGATATATGCAGATACATGCAGATGAAAAACAGTTCTAAATTTCAATTCAAACAACTTCTTTTACCTGCAGTGCTAAGAAGCTAACGCAGGGCCTGGCGCATGCTAATCTCGCATTTGAATAATATTTGATTTTCTGAGTGCAGAGATTTATATACAATAAAAAGAATTTGCTTTTAAGATTTTCATGAAATAAATCTTATTTGTTACACAAGACACAAAGTAATGTAAGGCAGGCAGTATCAATGAAGTTCTTACCTCTCTAGTTTGATGTTCGCTGACAGGCTGAAACCGAGGTACAACCTTAAGTTGCTGTTCTAGCTTCTGTATTTCCTGTTGGAATACGTCTCTCTCATGTTCTCTATCAATGGCTTGCTCCTGAAGTTTAATAATAATAATGATGATAGTAACTGAAGAAATATTTATTAAACCTCTTACCTTATTTCCCTTTTGTTAAAGATTAGTTCTGTTTGAAGATAAAAAGCTGATGACCATAGAATACCCTGAATCACAAAGTTTAAAAAGAAAAAAAATTTTTTGGTTCATTACGTATCTTATAAGGGCTCTTCAGCAAAAATTTAGGTATTTAAAAACTATTTGAAGTATATTTTTAAAATTCAAGTAATGTTAAATCAGAAGGAAAAAACTTCGTAAAATGAATTTATCTTTTTGCACAAAGAAAAAATTCCACTAATTTAGCCATTAAAATAAGTATGAAAGTTGTCTCGTAAATCAATGTCTTTAATCATAATCTAAATTTCATACCTAACATTAGAAAATATGTAAGAATGTGACTCTCTGATGTGTGAAGGGCACATCAGACTTATATAAGATTCTAAAGAAGAAAATCTGTGAGACTGGAGATTTAGCACTGCTTTGGAGAAAGCGTAAATGGCATCACGCTGATGGCTCCAGTCCCCCTTCTGAGTGTCACTACTCATAGCTATGTATTTTTCTTGTAGGGGGAAGCATGGTGTCCAGTCACCTCTTGAATTCTCATTTGCTTTGGTATTGGTTAAATGAAAGACTGAGACATGCTTAACTCTGAATTTTGAAAAAGCAGTTGGGTTTATTCTAAGCATCCTGTTCTACATTTTTTTGTTTTTGTTTGTGCTGTGGATTTAACCCAGAATCTTGTGCATGTACCTTACCATGGCGTTACATCCCTTGTTGCACTACTTTTAATTCTGATTGTTGTTCAGTATAAATTATTGGAATTTTTAATGAGAAAAATACTCGATCATTGTAGAATACAAATATGCAAAATACAAAAATACAAAATTCGTTGTAGAATACAAATATGAAAACAGTCATTCAAGGGGCCTCATACTTTAAAATTCACAGCCTTGGACAGCAGTGAGCAGTATTCCTTTGAGAAAAATCAATATTCAAATTGAGAATACTTACATCTAAGAATTTTCTCATTTTTTCTAACTGCTTTTCCAACGCTTGGTTTTGCTGCCTTAAATCCATTAGTTCAGCATTTTTCTCTTGTTCCAGCTCTATAAACCTACTGACTTGTTCCTCAACATCGATTTCTAGAGCTTTCACTTGCTTTTGAAGGTCATCACGCACTTTTTCTGCTTGACACTGCACTTCTAGCTTTTCCTTCATTAGTTTTTCTGTCTCCTGTAGTAACTCTGTTTATAAATGTGAAAAAATACCAAGGCAAATCACAGTTAATGTTACAATAATAAAGTCACTCATAACTATGTTTAAATTTTACCTTCATCAAATGAAACTGAGACTTACTTTAAATACACATTAAAAAGTATTATTTCTACAAGTATCAAGATTATCTCACATCTACATAAGCAAGTATTAATTGATAGAGAATTAAGAAAAAGTATGTTCTATCATAAAAACTAACATTTGCATGAAAACAACATAGTAAATAACCGAATAATCTACTTTCATTATTAGGGCAAGAACAAAGTCCAATTAAATTCAAGCAGATAAAAACCTCACCATTTTCTTTTCATCAGGCAAAATTAATCCATTCTAAAGCCATAAAAAGTCACGTTATATGCATACATAGTACACAAAGATCAAATACTGTACTGCACCAGCATTTCCTGTGAGACTTACTCCTTATCACCTCTGTACTCCTGAGATGCTTTTGCATGCTCACATGTATGTGCGTCGAGGGAAAATGGACATGTCTAAGGGGCAGAGTGGTTGGTGCTTAGGAGCAGACTACACAGTTCAAATTCTGGCTCTGAGCTTTTTTTCCTATGTGACACTAATATAACATTCTTCAATTTTCTTAGACATAAAATGGGATAATATTGTTACCAATCTCGGAGAAGGACTTCGGGATCAAGTGAATTATGATATGTAAAGAATAGTGACTGGAATATGATAAACACTATGTAAATGATAACTGTTATATATAACAGTTATATATATAATAAATGATAACTGTTATATATAAATGGTAACTTATATAATAATAAAGTATAGATAGTTAAGATAAAATAATCTTTTAATGAAGAAAATAGAAATAACATAGCTCTAGAATCTTTACACTATACTAACTGACCTGTTTACACTGTATTCAGGACTAAGAATCTACAGAAAACACCTTTCTTTTTAAAACGATACTGCTACTGGATGTTCATATATAAATAAATCAATCAGAAAGCCTGTTATTAAATTTCACTGAATCTTTTGCTACCACTATCTTCCTGATTTTGAAGGAACATTTTGAAAAGCTATAGATGAGCTTAATCACACTTTAAAAAAAAACAACTGTTTTAAAAAAAAAATCTTTTAAACTCTATTCAAAACTAGATACAACAAAATTATGGTTACTATGAAACTCAATTTCAAATGCAAATACGTATTTTTATTGTAAAATAAGTTTGTTTTGTTGTTAAAGGGAAAAACTGTAAGTATGAAACACAACAGCAGAACTGCAAAATTAGAGACATGTTAGCTAAAAATCCAAGCACCACGCCAATTTTGAATTGTAAGTCTACCACCCAAAAGCAGTCCATGCAACTGTACACACACACACCTGTTCCAGGTGCTGCATCGACTGCAGCATTTACTAGTCCTATGAGAATAAAAAAACAGACACAACAAAAACATAATTATGTCTTCATTTCTTATGCAATGCTTTATGCATACATGTATGAGAAGCAAAAGCTGAAGTCACTTTTATCATTATTAGTAATATTTGAGAAGTTCTACTATTTCTTGAATATTTTTTATTTATGACATGTATTCATTCTACATTAAAAATTCCAACCCTAAATCTGTGTTAAACAATTTGAGCATCAGAAAAAACTTCAGCACATATCAAAAATGTATGCTGTAAATGAAATCAGAGACATTTACTATTTCCACTGCATGTGCAACATAAAAGTGAAAGGATAGGATAAACATGATTAAAGTTCCACTGTTTCAAAGACTGATATCACTGAACAAGCTTTAACTTCAAGTTGTTAATCTCTCAGTTAAGGAAAAATTAATTTACTTGAAAATTTAAATATTATTTGAATGCCTTCTTAGATTAGACTAGATGTCAGCCTGCTTCTGGCAGCAACTGACCTTTTCAAACTATTCTGCTTGGAGGCCCAACACTCCTTTACCTGCTTACTACTGGTACCAGATCATTGCTCTCAGTTATTCAACTCAATTCAATTCAGTTCAACAATATATGTTTGCTGGCTCTGTGCTATTAAAACAACCAAACCTTATATAATTTGTAAAATATGCTGTCTTACTATTTGTAACTTTATGCCATGGCAGAGATTTAGGGATAAAGAAGTATATATATATATGTATACATATATATATATTTCTTTTAAACAGCTAATAGCTGCCAAAAGTAAAAAACAAAACAAAACAAAACCCCTAGAACCTGATTTCACATTTATTACTGACTAATAAAACTATCAGGTACCTTTTTATTCATAATTTTTCAAGTTCTTATGTAAAATACACAAAAATGGTTCTGAAAGAGAGGGAAGATGTTTAAATAATATAAATAACAGAGGAATGTTTTATACAAAGTCTAAAAATACATACGCTGTTCAACGGGGCCTGCCTCTGCTTTCATAGCCTCCTTCTGTCTGCACAGCAATTCTCTTTCTTCTTGGATCTGCTGCTGCTCTGCTTCCAATTCTTGCAACCTATTACCTGCACATAACAGCTCCTGTTCAAGGCGATCTATTATGTCAGTTTTTTCCTGAATTTGCTTTTCAAAAAGAGTTTTTTCATCTGCATAACCATCAATGACACCTGTAAAATAAAATTATCAAGGAATGAAATTACCACTCATTTAAAATTTTACCATTAAGTTTTTATGTAAATAAAAGATGTACTATTAATGAAACTTTATATCATTCTAACCTATTAAAAAGTTTTGAACTTGTTGCAAGCATTAACCTTTAATATGATATGCTTAGTACTGTTTTTTCTTATTTACCACTGTTCATATATACAAAATTTCTCTAAACTTCTACTATTGCACTTTGCTATACAAAGATATTATATTATACATATATAACTCACTATGAAATAGAAATAGATTCCTGGAAAGCTTAATGTAAATCAGACACTTTTGAGTTGAAATCACATTTTAAATACATTAGAGAAGGATGATACTTTAATTCTAGAGGGCCAACACCTCTAGCAACTTGAGAGAATAGAAAAAGCCTGATGTGTTAGAGGCTAAACCCTACAGCCACCCACCGTTTAATGGTTCCTTAAACAACAGTTGTCTTACTATGGTAGGATTACGGTAACAACTCACTACTATCCATTTCTGTATTTCCTAAAATTTTAAGTATTAGTGTCTGTGTGTGTATAGTTTTAAAAACTGCTTGGAGGAACTCTGAAGGCAAATACAACCACTGTTCAATGGCTGCTCTAAATTAGGAGTGTTTTTATTTTTTTGTCTTTTTGAGACAGGGTCTCACTATAAAGTTCAGGCTGGCCACGAGCTCACTTTTTAGCCCAGGCTGGTCTTCAACTCACAACGATCCTCCTGCCTCAGCCTCCCAAGTGCTGGGTTTACAGGAATGCAGCACCACGCCCGGCAAGTGTTTTTAAATCTGGGTGTATATTCAAATCTCTATTTTAAGACTGAAATTTCTCCAATCTCAGTTGCCAAAGGTAAGATACTTACCCTCCGCCTTACTGAGCTCCACAGCCAGCTGTTCTCTGGCCCTGGACTCCTCATGAAGGCGCTCTCGCAGTTCTTCTTGGCACTTAAGAGATTCTGTGGCCTCTTGTTTCTGTCTAAATGATTCACGCATCAGCTCTGTCTGTGTGACTTTCGCATGTTCGAGCTAAACCAGGAGAGAAAGAACACATGAAGGATGATAAAGTGTTGGTAATACCAGTGTCATTTCCAATTAAAGCTAAAAAAGATTTAAAGTGAAAAAATTAAATTATAGTCACTTAAATAGTCTAATGCTTGTTAATATTAGCAGGAAGAGATTAGCTGTATGACACTTCTGATACGAAATAGTCTAGTTTTATGGGACAAAAGAGTATGCTGCTTTGGGAAATAAACTATGAACTCAATGGATATGTATTCCGTGATGTGACGGGAAGTAGAAAGTTAACGAAGCTCAGGATCTTTGTATTTGCTGAAAACTTTTATGTAATATATGGTCTACGAGAAACTGTTTGTTTTATATTTAATGTTTGTACATTGTGACTCCGACAATATCTGCTGCACTTTGTGAGGGACTATTAATAGATGATTAATACAGTGGTACCAGTTAAAATCATAGTGGCAGAAAAAATGAAATTATATTTATAATCCATGTGCTTGATTTCTGTCCCCTGGCAAGAAAATCGAAAGATTCTATATCCAGTTTATTTTCAAAACCTTATAAATACAGAAGCATTAAAAATAGAGCTACCATAAAATGCTGTCGAATGGGACTATATTCTTAAACAGTTTCTAAGATCGCAGTACAGACTGGAAGCCAAAGGTTTCACTTAGGAGGTAAGTGGATCACTGTTACTGAACCACTTGTATGAAATTACAGAAAAGCACTGTTTCTGCCTTAGGTATTATCTAGGTTTTTTAATATCACCACTTGCTGATCTGTTTTTACTGTAAGTACAAGGGAAAAATTTGACTTCAAATATTTCTAGTACTTAGTCCAAACATTTTAAAAAGAAATAATTGTATGTACTACAACAAGCAAGTCTCATAAAAATTTGTAAATTTAGTAAAGCACTGTGTATATCACAAAGATATTACTGCCATGTTTTAAGCTAAAAATATGATCAAACGTAGTGGTTTCTAGTCAGACATCTGTAATGTATTACACAATTTTGATAATAGTTTTATTTTTTAAATAGAATAAAGAATGTTTCGTTCTTTAAATACTTTTGCTCTTCATATCTAAGCAGCATTTACCATAACAAATGGATTTTAGAGTTATTAAAGCTTTTTATGGCAACTAAATCTATTTCCAAAATATCTAATATGCAATTATTCTTGTTTTCAACAGGGTATTTTAAATATCCTTTGGAATTTATTTTAAAATAATAAAAGGACAAATATATGACTCATAATGAAAATTAAGCATAAATTTTAAATTATAAATTATTTCCTAAAATATTGCTGAAAACATGCTGTTACCTACAAAACAATAAAAGTTTTATTTTTAACTGGCAAGAATTTTTTCCTTTAAATTTACATAATTAATACAGTGAGTTTTTACTATAAAAGAAATAGGACCATTAAGTATGGAATAACATGAATATTACTACTCTCATGAACTTAGTCACAAGATATATATATATATATATATATATATATATACACATTATATATATGTATATGAACAGTTTATCTTTTTTTATTTTTTTAAAAATTACTTGTATTGGTACACTGTTGATATACAGGGTAACACTCATCATAGGGGATTAGTACAACTTATATTTAATGCTACAGCAATTGTGTCTACGTACACATATAATTTTTTCTGTATATAATGGTTAATTAGTGAATACATGAAACCTAAGCATTCAAGCTATAACTTCTATGTTCCACTTCACAAGATCTAAACCAAGCCTTTATAATACAATTAAATATTTACTACAAAACCTTAACAAATTTGGTTTTATAAAATAAAGCAAAAAACTGAAGCAGCCAAGTACAGTACAGCTAACAAATTTTATTTATGATAGAGATGGAATCCACACTTGGCTAAGAGTCTTCTTTCAAATTCTAATGTACTTTAATCCCGCCCCCCCATCTCTCCTATTCAGTCAGGGTAATATTTACAAAAGCATGAAGTACATAAAAATTTCAAATTCAGTAATTTTAAAAAGTAGTTAGGAAACATTTAAAGTACTGGTTGAGTTTTCGTGAATTTTCTGTCACTTTAAAGTGAAAATTGTAGGAGAGGTAACAAAACGATTCTGAAAACCATCTGGCTTGTTAAATATTAGCTAGTAGGTACAGTGAAAGCCGGGAGAGTCATAAAAAGTGCTGAGTAACTTGTGAATCATCCAGAAACATAAACATCAAATGAACCTAGAAAACTGAATATGCAGGCTTCTTTAGGCTAAATACTCACCCTTCACAGTTTTTATAAAAACATTTCACATTAAAAGCAGAAAAAGTCGTTTTTCTCTACAGGATTAGTAGGCAACTTAAAAATAGAAAATAGCTTCCTCAGGCTACTAAGAAAGATTTAGGATACATCTCCTTCTGCCTTGTCTGAACTGCAGCCAATATGACACAGTATTTGTACATGCGTTCTGACTGGCTCAAAGACAAGTCACTGAGCTGCTTTACGTATCACAATGCCCATTTTCTCAAGTATCATTTCATTTGTCTTTAAAATTGGTGTCATGAACACACAAAAGCATGAATCTCAAGGACAGGCAGAATCTTTAAATAGCTGGCCTGGTATTAGAGAAATGTAATATCTCTTTCTGCTTTCTGGAATTAAAAACACAGCCAACTTGGAGTGCTGAAACCAACTGTAATTTTAGCACTTGAATACATCCTGGATGAATGAGGAGTAACATAACAAACAATAAAACAAGGTCCTATTCCATTTAACCTTACTAAAGATACTGAAATTTTCATTTCTCATTATACTTCATTTAAAAATAATTTTTATACTTACTGAATAAGGAGGGGTAGGCAGTGAAATTTTAGAAATCAGCTTTAATATGTGCCCATTTCTTTTATGAATAAAATGAAAAATAGAAGTATTAATAATGACTGAGTTATTTTCATCCAAATGTTCACAGAGAGGAAAAGGATATGGCAAAGGTACTCGAGATTCAACCTCATAAATGTCTTCATCTTGTTCCTCCAACCAAGAGCCACCGAGTTTGACAGTTGCCAAGTAGGTCTTGTACGAATCCATTCTAGAAGATGAAGCTGCCAAGTCTCCTTATTTGCTTAATCAGTTTCCCACTACACTAAAAAGTTCTTTTCAGTTTATCAATATATTTTATACTAGCATAAAAATTTCTTTTTAGCACTATCAAACATTAATTTATACAGCTGAATAAAAGGGGTGAAAAAGTCCAGAAAAAATCTTGTAGGTCTAAAAAAAACTAGCTATCAGTCTTTATCCAAATAAAACAAAAATGAAAAGCAACAAAAATAAAAGAAAGTAAACAACAATGAACCCATTGTTTTCAGTAGAATAATGAAATCCTTGAAGAACGAAAACATAAATATCTAGCTGAGCAGTAAAACTGCTCGCGTATATCAAATATGCTGCGGTAATAAGTAAGCTTTCCAAGCAGATCCTGGCAGGGAGGGTCAGGTTTTAAATCTCCGTAGCAGCAGTCTTGAGAAATGTTGCACCATTATTTCCCTTGTTCTAGCAGCTTCACCCGAATGAAAAGGCAAAGTGCTCTGAACTGAGAGCTATTCAAATAACCTGACCTGTTGAGCCAAAGGATTCTAGTCAGAGTCCCCTGAGGAAAAGGTCAGAACACTGGGTGTGGTTTTTATGTCTTTACCTATCGATACACTGACAGGTGGAATGTGAATTAATACACCCACAAAAAAGCCTGCCCAACAGGATCCAGGTTCCACGTCAGAGCTTTGAAAAGAGTATTTAGACACACTTACAGTGTCTCTAAGATAAGCTGGTGTTTTTCCATCCCATTAAAATATGGCTTCCATTTAAAAATGTGAAATAAAGATTATTTGAGTTCACCTTATTAAGCACTTATTCAAGTGTATCAAATAATCTTCACTATTAAGTTGGAACTTTTTTTGTACTTTCTTAGAAACGATGCTTTAGGGCAGCCACTGTGACTAAATATAGATAGTTCAGCTATAATCTATTTTACACTGACTTGTTTATAGAGTGCATGTTAAGAGAAAAAAAATTTAAAATCTGTACTGTATAGAAATAGTTGGTTATTATATCACTTAAAGTAGCCACCTTAACAGTAAGGTGAAAAATCAATCAATCAATCAATCAATCAATCTATCTATCTATCTAGTAGCTAGCCTCTAGTAGTTCCTGAAACCTGAGGAATAGTTAATAAAGTATCTCCTCAGAACTTTAAAGGATACATAACATTTATTTACTTATTAGACTCTTAAAGGATAAATAACATTCATTCATTCATTCATTCATTCACTCACTCACTCACTCACTCACTCACTGTGTAACTCAGCCCAGACAGTCCTGAGCTATAACTGCAGCCCCTTTTGGTATTTTATTTTGAGATAGGGAGGGTCTTATCAAACTACCCAGGCAAGGCTCAAACTTGAGATCCTCCTCCCCAAACTCCCAAGTTGCCAGGTATAAAGGTAAGTGACATTACACATGGCTATAACTTACTTTCTAAAATTCAGATTCTCAGAGAGGAAAGTTGTTTTAAATAACATTTCCTGGGGGCTGGGGATTTAGCTCAGCAGCACAGAGCTTGCCCGGCAAGCGCAAGGTCGTGAGTTTGGTGCCCGGCACCGGAAAACTCCCCCTAAATAAATAAATAAATAAATAAATAAAATTTCCTTTTTCATTTCATTTCCTTTTTTTCTACCAAGTAACTAAATATCCCAAATGCACAAAGACTTTATCTAAATGGAAAAACCCATGCTAAAGAAAGCAGGTAACATCAACAATGATCTCTTTCATAGCCACTCTCACTATGTAAAGTTGTTTTGAGGACATGGTACTCAAATCTTCTGCAACAAGCTAATAGTTAAGGCAGAAAGAATGAAAATTTTCTGTACATAGTCCAAAACGGGTGTTGAGAGATGCCTTGTAGCTAAGGAGGGGCAGGGCCTCTTACAAGTCTCCAGTTAGCCTGTACAAGATGGAGACCTAACCTCATT